ACCATACCAGTTGCTCGGTCGCTCTGTCCAGTCAGCGGTATCGCGTGTCGGTGGCCTAAGTGCTGACCCTAGTTGATCGCGATACTGTACGACGGAACTTCATGGGTTCACAGCCGTTGTAGACAATGCGTTCATCCCCGGGTAAGCCGTTTAAGAATCTTGTGATTCGGGGAGTTTGCTGAACGATGCCTTGAGACCGATGAGAACCCGGACAAAACTCGCGGGTAAAGAGTCGAATACCGAACTGCCATGCATACCCCCATGGCCGGGTTTTACGGTCTAAAAGATTGAGAGTCAGCGCCCAATTTCCTTTAATCATTTCGACATGTCCTAGATTTCAGATGCATATGAAATCGGTAACTTACTTATGTCGAGATTAGACAAATGAAAAGGAGTATAGCCATTGCATAGTGATATAACATCAGAATCTTTTCAGATTTTCAGGAATAGTAAATAAAGATCCAAGATTATAACTCTGGTAGACTTAATTCTTACTGCTACATGCCACTCCGTGCTAACACAAAGTACCACTATCACAAAGTACCATAAGCTATCATACAATCATCATAAACTGTCATAAACCAGAATGTGCTACCATAAACTATTGTACATTATCATTTCGAATACTTTCGTAATATCATTTTCAATTCAGTTATCAAAGTATCTTCAATGCAGTTTCTTCAATAATTATACTGAAATTAATTCTCAAAGGATGAAAACTGACTTTGAATGATACNGGAGAGCTCATTGTAAGCAGTTCGTGCTATGCGCAAAAAGAATGTGTGTTTTGAGTTTTATTTAATCATAAGGTAACGGAAAGAGAAATGTATTATTGTTTGTTTATCTTAATCAGCTAAATAGTAATGAAAGAAATTTTGTGTTTATTTTTTCTAAGAAAAGTTGTTAAAGTCATTGCTTAAAAACCACATGCGCCCAACACTAATTGCTTTCTTTCCTCTGACATTTAACCAATTTGTTAGTTCATTTTTACATGCAACTATTCTTTAATCCTTGGCTTTCGGCACGAGCGCAGCGACATTCAAGGCAGGTGTCGCACTTCTAGCCGCCCGCTATACGAGAGCTCTGATTGGTCAGGGTTTTTTGTTAATAACTCGACAATCACGCCTTGGACAACATTTTGACAAAGGAAAATATTGTTCAAAATCATTTCAGAAACCTCCCATTAAAAAATGTACCACGAGTTCTGGGACATCCTGTATATCTATATTCCCTGTGTGGCAATTTTGCGTTAATCGAATCTTAATCCTTTGCACTCTTCTGTCCCCTCTGAGCGGACATCGTAATTCTAATGTATCACTCGAATGTCCCCTCTGAGAGGACATGAAAGTTTATTAGTGATACCGGGGAATCAACTTAGTGTAATTTTTTGAGAAATACATGGATTCGTAAATGCACGTTTTTGCGATAAAGTGGCGCCGAGTAGCTGGTAACGTCCGGGATGGTTCGGAGTACAAAGGGTTAAGGGATGAAAACCGTCAATAAATAAAAACATGCCAATTTCCTAACATTAAATCATAATGAATAATATGATGACACTTCAATAGTTGATATTAGAAAGAATTACTATTAGAAGAATGGATACAACTTTAGTTCAAAACAAAGCTTGAAGTCTTTAATTTCTATTATGTTGTTTGGAAGTCTTCTGCAAATTAATTCTAATGGGATGAAAATAGACTAGGAAGAAAATATCGTTGAATTCCATTGTAGGATGATCTACCAGAAGAATTGCTAAACTTTAAGTGTCAATAACTTTGCTAGTATTGAAACAAATGGATTCAATTTTAACTCAAAATGAAGCTTAAAGCCTCTGTTTACTGTCGTAATCTGAAAGTTTCCCTTACATTGATTATGTCATATATCATCATGAATTATCATAAAATATGATATACTATCAAATCCACTATTTCCATTCTCATGCCTCAAGTAGTACTTCCTAAAATCATATTCGTATTGGTTTGCACCGTTATTGACAGTGTGGATTCCACACTCCTATCTGAAATTTGTACAATATCTGTTGCAGTAACGATCTGGAACTAGCTCAAATCCATCTGAAACCTTTGGCATTCCAAGGCTAAGTTGCTGACTTTGTTCGTCCGGAGACATAAATTTTAACCGAAGAAATCAAAACCGCCGATTTCAGAAGCCTGATTGATAGTATGAAGAAATTCTTAGGTTTACTAGGAAAAATTGCGATTGCCTATAGCCTAATGCTATCGGTAGTTGATGCAAGTCCGTATCAGAGAAAAGAAGAAATAAAATTAGGAAGTACAGAGATTGACACATTGCAAATAAATGATTTAGTAAATAAAAACATCAACAGAGATAAACGAGATGTCACGTATGGGAACTGCGTAAATACGACGAGTGGTGATTCTGCTGGTATGCAAGTACTGACTGGCGCTGCTATCGGTGCCGGGATTGGCAGTGTCGTTCCCGGTTTAGGCAACATCATAGGTGCAGCGGTCGGATCTGTTATAGGCGCAGCGGAAGCAGCTGTTGGTGAAAAAGCACCTGCAAATGGTTGTGCGAAACCTAAAAATTAAAATCGCAAGGACTTATACCTGAGTTCCCGATAGTCTAGGAGCGGGCACAGTTCAGTTTTTGATCGTTCTGCGTATCTCAATACTTTACCATGTGTACTGAGACGTGTGGAAGGAGTTCGATGCGACCTTCACCACTTCCAATCTGCGCGAAACGCTCCTAGACACTCGGGAACTCAGGTATAAATCCAAATCGAACCTTGGGCATAATTGACGTTATGACAATAAAACGATATTGGGAAAGTTTCAAAAATAAAATCAATTTTTGAATGTTGACCATTCGCAGGTCACTTTCACTTTTCACTGTCACTTTTCACTCCACAATTTTCCGACCATTTGTTCTATCTGCGAGCGGCAAGGATCGGCAAGATGACCCATTGACCGTGACCCATCTTCCTCGGAGCAAGTGCACTTGTGGATGAATGAGTAAATCCAATCTGCACTGTTCTTGCAGTTCTTTTAAATTCAATGTTTGTTGCGACTTTTTAATTTCTCATTTATCTTGAATTCCTCTTCCCCAACCATTCCACTTGAATAACGATTAAGTATATTAATTTATATTCATAATTAAGAACGGACAATTTCCATGTATTGTTATTAATGTTAGTTTCTTAAAACACATTTTACCATGTCAAGCACTTGTTCCCCTGACTATGATCGGGCGCCACGACTCGAGCCAAGACGTCCGTCACTGAGCGCGGATGAATCACACGCTCTTATTAGTCAGTGTTTTCCGCTTATAATGAGAAAACCAAGCCTCATTTTACATTTTGCCAAAGGGTATTGTTGTTCAGCATAACCCTCCCAATCTGACATTTTTGTTTCTAACACCTTTTACGGAACACCCTGTATATAAATTGGTTGATTATTAATATTATTAATATTACTATTATCAATATTTTCTTTAAATGTTTCATCATATACAGGG